CGTTTTTAGTTATCGAACTTCAACGAAACTATATAGATATGTTCTTTAAGGTTCATAGATCATTTTGGCATCATTAATTCATAGTTTTAACATCAATTTAATGGTTTATGATTCTTGGTTGTTTAAGCATGTAAAACACAAAACTCAACCAAACGACCGTTTATGAACGTAGAAACGATCTATACGAACATTCTAGTCATTAGATATATCAACGGGCTTACCTCAAAGCGAAATGGAGGTTTTGAGGATTTTCCGGCGAGACTTCCGGCAAGGATTGTGACTATCTCCGGCGACCTCCAACTCTCTGGACAGCATCACTTTACTCTCCACACTCTCAGGGACAAAATGGAAGAAGAAATAGAGAGAATGGTGAAGAAATGAGAGAATTGGTTTCTTTATATAGAAGAGGAGAAGAGAAGAGGACAGGGAAGGTGAGCTGCTACTGCGTAGGATTCCCAATTCACGTTCTCATTCGGCGCAGATGTGATTTTTAGGCGATTCTGCACGTTACCTCTCTGATTGGGACTAATTCATCCCAGTCGGGATACACTTTTTGGTCCAACTTTCTCCGAATTGAAATCCGTTTGCACCGTTGCTATCGTACAATTAAACTCTATCTAATGATACACTTTTTACATTTATTCGTTATACTTTTTCTGACATCATATTTTTGGGTGATTGACTATGACAGAGTCAAAATTGGTTTAATTGACTTTTATTCAAAAAGGTTCTCACATTTAATTCATATTATTTATTTCCATGATTTATTTCAATAAATCATTTCAAATTTTACATTACAAACAATTTCTTCATTTATTCTTAATTTGGGTCTGTACTCAGGTTCCCAATCAAGATCACACAATAAGTCAACAGGTTGGATTTATCTCTATGAGATTTAACCCAATTATGTTTATTGGACATCAATATATATTTTATTTCGCCCCAAAGCCCAATAATAATTTATTTTAATCAAAACAAATTTTGTTTAATTGAATATTTAATTCAATAAATTTTAGGGTATATTTTGGGGCGTTATAGAGAAAGTTAAACATAGTTCAGGACAAAAAATGATTTATGATTTTAGATTGTTAACCCATAAATGGAGTTCAAAGACTGTGTTCATACCCTTATGCAGAATCTGGGTTAGGTTTTGGTGTCTGTGTTTGGGACTGGTTTTTGGGCCTGGGTTTTGGGTAGACTCTAGGTTGGGTTGATACTTCATATAATCAAATAGTATGATAAGACATCCACAAATTTCTTCTAGAGAGTGAAATAGTTATGCAATGTAGTGTTTTTGAAACGCTAAAAAGTATTTGCATACGCTAGCTTTGAAATCATCGGTGGAATACCATAGCAACTTGACACGATGAGCCTCAAAATGCACGAATCAATAACAGTTGAGGCATTGAATGCCTCATTATCAAGAAAAAGGGGGAATTGCTCATTAGCTAGCATTGGTCGATTTTTTTATGAATCTGATATTGCATTCAGAATGAGCTATTTTCTTTTCAAACTCCAGTAACAACATGCACTTATAAAGTCTAAATGATTTGAAGCATGGAATTAAAAAGAGGTTTTAATGATTTACCTGGGATAGAAGCATATTATTTAATATGAATTTATTCTCCAGATTATCTGCTCGAAGATCAGAGGATGTAAGAGGAAAGGAAAGATGAAATAGAGTTAGGACTGGTTGATATGTAACCCGTAGCCTGGAGAATCAATCAAAATTTAAATTTATATATGCAAGCATCATAGGAAAAGCAAAATATATGAAATGAGCAACTTTACTTGCTAGAAAGAATCAGGTGCTTTGCATACTATAGAATATAACTAACATTCAACCGAAGAACCTGATATTCTCGTATGATTTTTTAAATTTGCTAGTACTGAATACTTATATTTTTCAAACAAAAAAAAAGTTGATCTTTTAAGAAAAAATGCTTTTGCTGATGTTTATGAATTGGCCATATCCTTTAGAATGTTTGTAGTATATGAAAATAGGAAGGAAAGTACCACCAAACTGTTGCAGGTTCAGCCCTACCTGTAGGTGAAAAATGACCCTTCTTTTAGTAATAGAAACAAACAACAAAGAGAAGAACAAGCCAAAGAACTCATAAGATTTTACCTAGGAGGAAGCTTGGAGAAGGTGTCTCATCCCATCTCCCAAAATCGAATAGAAATAGCCCAATGTACATGCTGAAATAATTGGGAGGGGATTATTAAGGGAAGGATCCATAAATACAACCAAGTGCAGGGGTATTCCCATGTTTAAAAATTGTGAATAAGTACAAAAGGAATGAATATGACATTAACAGGCTTTGACAATGAAGACCAACCATTGTCTATGGCGTTTGACATGGTAAATATAGCCGTTTTAGTGAAATTTGAATGTCACATGGCCTTAAGCACCTATTTGTAATAGTGTAGTTTTGATTAGAGTGCAGCAGTTCATATTAAGCCTTTTTTTTGGGAGATATCCGACCAAAAGAGGAAAACCAATACCGGTACATGGTGAAATTTCCATTTTGTTGATCGGTGGAGGCTTTGAAATTTCCATTTTGTTGAAAGTACCGCCAAGCTCCAGCCAATAAAGAAGACTCGGCATGAATCCTGTCATCAAATAGGACATGAAAGAGGTTAATAAATAGGAAAATCTCTTACCAAAGTTATGGTCAGAGCTGCAAATGAATGGGGGTTGAATGTATATATATATATACGCATGCGAAGTCCCTCCGAATATCGTAGCGAGTTTGAAGGGTCGTGAGAGTGACTCGCTCCGAGCATCGCGTTGGGCGGTTGATGGCTTATTTGCATATGCTGCCAATTAATTTTCTCAATTTTATTTTAAAAAAAATATTGAAAAGTAAAAATTACTCTGTACTTAAAATTTGACGAGAGAAAAGAGAAAAATTGTAGACTACATATTCTTTATGGAGTACTTCATATTTTAATAGGAATTGAAGTGGATAATTATTTTGATACACTTTTTAACCACTTCCAAGCAGGGGTGAGATTTGGATACATATCACCCTCTCCAAACCCTACTCTCGTGGGGTTTTACTGGGATTGTCGTTCTTTTTTATGGCAGGGGGCATTCAAGTTTGGGTGCAATGAGATATTGAAAGTACTTACGTGCAGCGGATTATCAGAGGTTGAGGTTTCAAAGGCTCTGGTCCATTTCCTATCCCCCCTCTTGTGACAAGTAACCTGCGATTAATTGGCAATAGCTTTAGAGTAACTCTTGTGACGAGTAACCTGCTTTATTTGAAAAGGTTATGTAATGGTACTTTCAGCGTGTTCAAAATTAATTGTCATGTTAAGGAAGTTGTTAGAGGATGAAGCTTCTTTTTAGGGACGGTCATTAGTTCCATAGACCAATTGAAGAAAGTGACATCTTGGAATCTGTAAGCAATGTTCCCTTCAATCCTTTCCTGATTTTCAGATTAGGCCTTTATTGGCGCTATGGGATTGCCAAAGATGATGTTGTCCGTTGGAATTGGTTGTGCAATGGCGTGAGCAAAGTTATGGAAGCCGGATGTGGGTCCTACATTTTTTCCGTTGTCCAAGCAGCTCCTTAGTGTGGCTACCCTCAAAGCCATATCCCTACCGCTTGCACTTCAAGCCCACACTCTCTGCACATAGGATGAACATCATTTCTTTAGTTAAATATTATTTCCCTCAATTCATTAAGAGGTAATGTTTTGCATCCCCTTTTATACAATTCTGCTTCCTACAGCTGCCCATTATAAATGTATAATCCCAACTCTGTTGGATTTGGGGGGGGGGGGTCAACATGTCCACAACCTCACCCCCGTAAAAAGAGAGAGTCTATGTCGACTTGACCCTTGATTGTTGTGTTTACTATACAAAACTCCATAAAATGTTAGAAGCAAAGAGTTTTAATGTAGCATTTTGATTTAGTGTATTATTGCATCAAGCTAATACATTGTCAAAAACTCCACTTGACGTCTAAAATAATGCCCACAAAAAATTTATGCTTATTTAACAAATATACCCCAACAAAAAATTTTAAGAATCAAAAGCCCCTTTTAGCATCGAGAGAACATCTTCACACATGCTTATTATTATTACTTTTATTATTATTACTGTTATTATTAATTACTATTATTCAATCAATTAGCAGAATTGACTTGTTTAAATATTTACTCAATCCTCAAGTTGATTTCCT